TCTCTTAGAGACTCATATTTGCGCCTCTTACTCAGTTCAGCTGCCTCTGATACCGTCCCGGCTCTAAGCGAGATACCCCTGAGATGAGAGGCCGCCAGTGTATGTACGCAAGTAGCATCCCACACTAGGGCTTTACCTCTCTCCCAAGGGACCAATGTCATACCGTCGTGTCTCCTGCCATGGTCTCTAAATATTCCACATGGCTCTAAAACCGAGGGAACATTTATAGAGACAAGAGCCCTTCGGACGACATCGTTTAAAGAACTGTGTCGTGAAAACCTACGAGCACTTCTCTTACATGAAAGTCCGTGGAGCTCAAACTTATCGACGCTGCTACCACAGGGGCAATGATGAGGTTGACAAATCGCCGCTCCTAGTTGGATTCCTACGGCAATGGGCAATGATTACTTATGATTATGATATAAGGTGCCTGTGGGTAATAGAGCCTGTCGGTTAATAAGGCCTAAGTAACAAAAATCGTATTTATAATAACCACACTCGCTTAAGGATATAATATCAGACTCCTATTGAACGATAATGTCTCTACAAGTTTGCAGAGACGCGCTACCCCGCGTACTGCCACCAGAGTTGCATTATCTATCATAATATACGACCACACTGTACCAATAATAAAAATCTGTCAAAATGAATCGTAGGTATGTTTTGTAATATAGCAATTAGCTATCGAAGCCTATCTTTCTATTAATGAATTAATACTTTGTTGATCTTGAAGATTTTAGTAACGTATCGTGGTCATTTTTTTTTATTTGGATTTTCTTAAATACTTGGTCGGCGGTTATTAAGGCCTACAAATTATTAAACTCCTTTTTCATTTGTAATTTTTTGTTTTAATATGAATTTTATATCACTTTTAAAATGTTATAAATGTCTAATGTCGTAGTCAGAAAAAGGCCTGGTTTCGGCTATCCATAAAATGCAAAGACAAAGTGTGTCGAAGAATTAAGGCTTTGACATTATAAGCTATTAAATTATGTTTAAATTATTGGTCCTACGCCTAGGATCTCTCGGACCGTGTCGGATTGCGAATTGATGATTGTGAAGGAATAGAGAGTGCAGCTGTGCTTTCGCATAGATTCGAATACTATAACTCTGTACTGTGCTGCTGGGTTAGTCTCAATGGAGACTGGTCGCTGTGAAAGAAATTTTATTGGAAGGACACAAGAACAAGAAGACTATAACCAGCAAAAGAGGTAAAATAGTATCATATATATTTTTATAGAAGAGGGGGCAAACGAACATACGGCTCACCATTTGGTAAGTACCTACCGCCGCCCATGGACAACTGCAAGCCTTTTTGTTTGTAATAAAAATAGTAAATAAATGCGACTGGTAAACATCTGCAATTCCTTTTATTATGCATATGTTTATCGGTGGTAGTAGTCACTTACCATCAGGTGAGGCGCTTGCCTGAGTGCCCCTTCTTCTAAATAAAAAAGTATACGAACATAATCAATAAAATCAAGAGCTGGTAGATATAAGAACCAGCTCTAGCTGGATAGAATAAAGAGTTACGGTGTAAGAATATCCAATACCCCATATCATTTCTTGGGTGCCGTAAGAGGTGACAAAAGGAAACAAATCAGGAGATGGGCAGCAGTCTTCCTAATAAAGAATAAAAAAAAAAATTGCGGTTGCCAACCCACTTGCCAAGCATGACAACTATAGCAAATATCCCCCCCACCATGAGGAACAGTAACGGTAGAAGAGTTTTTTTTTACGTGGTAGAGCCATGCTGCAGCTATATTATGGTTGTAGCACGAATGGGTCGGCTCCACCGGGGAACGACCACGCTCTCACAGAATACCAGCGTAAAATAGCAGCTTAACGCTGCTTTGTTTCGTATGGTCAGTGTAGAGAACCGGAGACCCTTTTTACTGGAAACGAGGCATTCTATCTTAGTCCTCATGGGTGACAACGCATCTGCATTTGGATTCTTAATCGAAGATAGATGTAGATGTCTATGGGCCACAGCAACCACTTACCATCAGGTGGACTGTGTGCTCGTTTGTCACCCTTATCCTATAAAAAAAAGAACAAAGAGTGAATACAGGACGAGCATAAATGGGACTCTCCACTCTATTGCGGGATGTCGTATGGCAGTTAAAAATGCTTTGTCAGTTCGTACCTTAAACCTTAATGTATGGTAGTGGGGTTTGAGTTTGACGGAAGAAGCTTGAGAGTAAAATTAATGTCGTAGAAATGCGGTCATTAACAGTATATGTTAGGGGTGACTCTAAATGATAGGGTGAGAAATTGTGTAATAAGAACAAGTGTGGTTTGCAAGATGTTGTGGCCAGGATTGAGAGAGGGATGTTTCGGTGGTTTGTGTGACAATACGTATTTATTCGGCAAAGGACGCTATAAACGGAAGTTGTCGACCAAATTGACGATTTATTGAAGATGAGCCAAATTAAGAGTACATTTTAGACGTGAGAGTTTGCCAGTATTTCGTTATCATCATCATAAATTAATTAATTAACTAGTGAGATAGACAAACTAAAAATGTATTATTTCTCTCTTTTGTAAAGCCATTTTTGTTGTTTTGTTAAATTAGTCAAAAAATGTAACCACAAAATTGACTGAAAAGTATGAAAATGTGTTGTAGTATTCGGAAATTTAAAATATTTAAACGCTAGCTATTAAATGTAGTGGTTATATTCTCTTTGGCTACCATTACCAAGAAAATATGCACCAGTTTGAGGTTAGTATTATATAAAGTTTTTCAACATCAACGATGTAATCCTCGGTAGTATAGTGGTCAGTATCCCCGCCTGTCACGCGGGAGACCGGGGTTCGATTCCCCGCCGTGGAGAAGCAATTTTATTACTTAAAAATAAATTTCTATATATTTTTGAAAATTTATAAATGAATTTTAGTTTTATATTATGCTCAACAAATTCTAATTAAACTTGTTAAACATAATATAAAATTCATTTGTATTTGGAAGCAATAATTTTTTAAGATATTTATTAGTCTAAACTATTACTATTAAATTTATCACTAAAACTATAATACTGTGATACAAAAAAACTGAGGGATAGGAAGAAAGAGAATAAATCAAACGGTGGACATTGCGGTGCGCGGTGTGGAGGAGCGTTAGTCTTCTCTACATGCTCGAAACGGACCGCCATCACACGAGTAAAGTTCAGATGACTCGAAAGGCTGTCTCTGTCTGGGATTAAACCGTTAATAAATATTTTTATTATTACCTTACGACTATATATTAGGTATTTGTTACCATTATTATTTGACAAAATTATATGTTTCATCACTTCAAAACGGTCAAATCAAAAAGGTAGTGCTACAAAGCACAGCAACCGTGGGGTGATTTATTAAAACTAGAGAGAAATGCAGTATTTTGTAGTTAACACTAAAATGTTTTTCAAACCAAACTTTATTTTTAATTATTTAAGAAATAAATCCATATCAAATAGCATGCACCGCTTATTCTTGTCCCAAGGGCGCATAAAATGTGCGAGGTGTCTGATGCATAACATGACAGAGACGGTGGAGAGTGTTTGTGCAAATACTCCACGGCTCGGACTCTCATTCACAACTACTAAGAGACTATGCGCGTCGTGTAGATGAACAAAACGTAAGGAAACCTTTGAAAGCTTCAGAAAAATCATTAAAATTATTTAATATTTGTTCATTTTTCTAAAATAGCCGTTTATTTTTAAGATTTTTCTAAAAAAATTTGGTACTACATTTATGTTGAAGCAATCAACCGACTTGGTTCAACATAAATGTAGTTCCAAAAACATTGAATTAATTCGTGTTCTTCACATTATCAATATAACCCAAATACATTTTAACCAAATATATTTATTATTTATGTTTGTCACTTGGTTTCTTTCTAACTAAGATTATATCAGCTATAATTGAGAATATCCAATAGACTGTTTTATAGTACAAAACACAATTTTATGAGGCAGAGGTAGGAGACAATATTTCAAATTTTGCATAGTTTAAACAGAAGAAGAGAGGACAAGATTAGTAAAAGATAAAAAGTCCATCATCAACTACATATAAACGCCATGACAATTCCACACCAATGAATTATTTGAATAATTTAAATTAGCAAAAATAATATTGTTTTGTACGGTGGTGATACAAAACTTATGTTCACTTTTAAAAATAAAAATAATCTATTTTATTTAATTAACGATACGAAGGGAAATACTACGTACACAACTACTAGGAATCCATGGGTATCAAGAAGTCACGAAATGAGTCAACTATATAGTAACTTATCCCTATGTGGTTCTGCTCAGTGATTTGATATTTAGATTCAGTGATGACTTACGGAACTGAGACGTGGTCTGCTGGCCGTATGAGAAAGCTCAAGGTCGCTCAGCGAGCTATGGAGAAGGCTATGCTCAGAGTTTCCCTGCGTGATAAACTTAGGAATGAGGATATCCGCAGTAGAACCAGAGTAACCGACATAGCCCAACGGATTAGTAAGCTGAAGTGGCAGTGGGCCGGCCATATAGCTCGAAGAACCGACAACCGATGGGGAAGAAAGGTTCTCGAGTGGCGGCCTCGTACCGGTAGGCGAAGTGTAGGGCGTCACCCCTCGAGATGGAGTGACGACCTGGTAAGACATGCAGGAAGTCGATGGATGCAGGTGGCTCAGGACCGTGCTTTGTGGCATTTTTTGGGGGAGGCCTATGTTCAGCAGTGGACTTGTGAAGGGCTGTAATGATGATGATGATGATGATGTGGTTCTGCTTTCTGCTTCACTATATTGAATAAAAGGACGTATCGAAAATACTTTTAAGCCCTTCTCCCATTACGATACGCACAGGCGATTCAAGTATCCTGCAAGTCTTGGCGACTAGTCGCCGCCAAGTATCTCACATACATTTGAGTGCAGGCTCGCACACTACGCTACTGGTATCCTACGCGTCCGCGACTAGTATCGCGCGACTCGCTGTGTTGGTCGCTTGTGCGTCGCGTCTCCTGTGCGTCTCGACAAGATGGCGGCGGAGCAAGAAATAAATATTAAGTTTGTACAAGAAGTTGAAAAACATGCTTGTTTATATAACTACAAATTACCAGAATACATGCGGAAAAATACAATAGATAGGACTTGGGCAGAAATTGGGAATAAATTTCAAATACAAGGTTTGTTTTGTTTATACATAATAAGTAGTTTATTAATCAATGTTACATTGTATTTTGTAAACAGTATTGGTATTGCCAAGGCAATGAACCTTGCTCAGATATAAAGTAGTTTGCTAAATAATTTCGTTGGTTGTGTGGTGACATAGTTGCAGTTATTTCTATATTTTGAGGTTGTATAGTCATAGTAACGGGAATAGTGACCGATCTGTTTTGTATTACCTCCCTTGGACTATATAGAATACCCTCATGTTGTCGAACAAAGTTGTGTAAAATACACACTGCTTTTATTATATTTGATACTTTTTCTATTGTATGACATCTTATAGCTGTACTTAATACTTGAAATTTCTCAGTCATCATTCCAAAAGCACATTCAATTGTATTCCTCCCTCGGCTTATTCTGTAGTTAAACACCCTTCTCAAGTCATTTAAGGTTCTTTGGGGATATGGTCTCATGAAGTAAGATAGAAGGGGAAATGCCTCATCCCCAATAAAATAGTATGGAAATTCATAGTTAGATGGGTCATTAGGAAGTTTGGAAGGTAAAGGAATATTAAGACGTCCATGTTCAATCCAACGTTTGATCCTGGAAGCACTGAAGATTCCACCGTCGCTGTTCCTACCAGCATAGCCAGTTTCGATAACAGTAAATAATCCATCGGCATTACAACATGCCATTAATACTATCGAATGGTAGGATTTGTAATTAAAATTACTTGATCCCGAATTAGGTAATTTTTCTATTCTGATGTGTTTACCATCACATGCCCCTAAGCAGTTGGGTAAATTCCAGAGGCGATCAAAACGAGCAGCAATGTCTTTCCAATGTTGCACATTTGGTAATGGCATATAGTCTCTATTTAATATCTCCCATATTATAACTGTAGTTTCAGCTATGACCTTGCAAATTGTATTATCTCCTCTTGCAAAATACAATCCTAGGCTTACAAATGAACAACCTGATCCCAAATATCTGTAATTAATAACAATTAATATTAAGGTTATTTTCAGGATCAGAAGCTAAAGAAAAGTGGAAAAATCTACGTAGTGTTTTTGTTCGCCATTTGAAACCGCCTAAAAGTGGAGCAGGGACTGCGCAAAAAAAACCATACTACTTAGCTGATTTTATGCAATTTACTATACCATTCATAAAAACAGCAGGAAAACCATCAGGAAATTTGAACGAGACAATAGAAGATAATGACACATTGCAACCACAGTCTCCTGAACTATGCGAACAAACACAGTTCACAGAAAGTGTACCTACAAGCACTCAATCGATCTCGCAACAGCAATCATCTCTTCCTTCTACAAGCACTCAATCAATCTCACAACAGCATTCATCTTTTCCTCCAACAAGCACTCAATCAATCTTGCGACACCAATTACCACCAGCAACAAGCAATAAAAGAAAACGGAAGAAGCTTGAAGAAACTCAAGCTGAGCAAGATATTGCAGCTTATTTTAAATTGAAACGATCTAAAATTATAGAAAACTGTGACAGTACTGAAAATTCAAACAAAATGTTTTTACTGAGTTTACTGTCGGACGTGAATAAATTGAATGATAATCAAAGAAGACTGTTTAAGAGGAGAGTGCTTGAATTGATAGACGATATTATGGACCAAAGTAGTCCCATCACACTTTTATCTACTCCTTCACCGACTGACAGGGCAATAAGTACGCCAAATACCATAAATGAAAGTGTACAATCAAATACTGCCACACTATATTATGAATCAATACCTATGTTTTTATCACAGGAAGATGAAGAATAAGTAATAATTTTTATAATTGATTGAAATAGCCTATGTTTTAATTTGATGATTGATTGATTCATACTAAAAATTTAATATACATTTTTAATTACATATGTAACAATGGAGTATTATTTACCTTAGGGTTATCAGAATCCTTTCTTCCGCACTAACACACTCTCTAAATATAGTATTTCGTTGATGTATAGCAGGCTTTATTAATGTAACAAGATGCAGGTAGGTCTCTTTAGACATTCGGTAGAAAGACAAAAATTTATTATCATCATGTTGTAGTTCTTGTGCGGCTACAAAAACTCTACAATTTATGTTTCTTTCAATATATGGATGAATCCAGTATTTTCTACTCTTGCGTTGACGTCTTCTGTTTCTATAAAACAGAAAAGCTGCAAGTGCTTCTTCGTCACTAAAATCGCTCGACATAACGTCCGTCCACAAAAACGAGTTTGCACAAATGATAAATTTAGTCATTTTTCAGTAGCATAATATGCGAGCGTCGGGTAGCGAACAAGTATCCAACTAGTATTCTACTCGAGTATCGTACCTTACAAGTATCGTAATGGGAGAAGGGCCTTATACGCTTGCCGCATTCGCTGAAGGCGATACCGAATATTTCTAATTTAATATTCCATTTATTTATTTATTTAACACTAGCTGGTACCTGGCGTGTTGCAGCGGCAGAAGAAATAACTACGGAAATATCGTTTTAATATTGTTTATTTGGAAATGATAATACATTTATTGAAGTTTGATGATTTATTACAACATTGAATAAAACTATTTTATTTAATGTTATAATAAATCATCGTAAAAATAGTTTTATTCAATGTGTAGTGTTCGCGTAAATATAAGAAATCATTATGTAAACCAGTACGGACTGGAAATAGCAAATAAAATAAGCCGATTTATTATAACGTTCAATACGACGATACGACCCGCGCGCCACCAACTGCCTATAACTGTACTATGCATAAAACCTTCGCGGATGTGCAAGCAATAAGTTGAAAAAGTTTTAGCGCAACCTGATGAACGCATAAAATACGAACAAACAAAACTGATTTTTTATATATTAGATAATTAAAATGTACACTATTAAAGTTTCACAGTCTGCCAAACTGCTCAGCAGTTTGTTGGCAGAAAAATGCTCTTACTTACTAACATGGAAAAAATAGCTTAATACAAATATACACACTCAAATAAAACCAATCAATAGTATCAATAATCGTTAATCAGTGTTTTAAATAACAGTAGCATTTTTATATGCATAAATAATGCTTATTACAGATGTAACGTGTGGGCCATCTAAAGGCGGCTCTTGACGTTGGCCAACATACTGGCGAATGTGTTGGCCAATAACAATGGCCAACGTGTAGAGCGGATGTTTACGCTTACGTTGGCATGTATTGGAATTATGGAGTGTAGAGTACAAGGAGGACCATCTCTATATATGGAAAGTGTCCCTAAAACGCGTCCAATAAGGGTGGCGCTGTAGTAGCATAGAATAAATTTTAAAAAAAGCGCCAAAATTAATTAGATTAAGATGGAGAAATAAATAAGGACCAACCAATCCGCTTGGTTTTGTACTACGTAAATAGTTGAGTTTTTGTATACTGGCAGTTTACTAACTACTATAGTCATGAAATTTTTTAAAAATTTGAATTCACCTGACTTCACTCCGTCTACAACAGCTATCTTCATATCGTAGTTTTTCAGACGCCGGCGCTATTGTGGTAGGTTTTGGAACCTTTATTTTCAGTATATAGTGGGACACTTTTTCAACTTTCGCACCTTATAAGATGGTTCTCCTTCTACTCTAGACTCCATAATTGGAATGATGGCCCACAAGTTGGCGCGAGATCCGTGTGGCGTCGGTTTTTTACAAAAGATCAAAGGATTGTGGCAGAGTATTGGCCGCCGCATCCACACGTTGGGCGCACGTTCAGTTTGCTACGAGCTCTCAGAATGATCGCACGCACCTGATTTAAATTTTATATGCACGCTCGTAACTAGTGAGATTAAAGACCTATAACTGGCACCCAATGAAACTATGGTCAGTTTTGATGTGCAGTCTCTGTTCACATACTTACCTGTTGAAGACTGCATCTCGATTGTTACTAGCAGGCTGGAGGAAAACAACATGCCAGTAGAATATGCAGTATTACTCAGATACTGCCTTACATCTGGCACTATTGTGGAAGGAAGAGTTCTACAAGCAAGTAGATGGCATGGCGATGGGCTCACCTGTATCTCCTATTGTCGCCGATATATTCATGGAAGACTTTAAGGAGAACACCCTGCTTACTTCTCCCGTAAACCCAAGATTCTACAAGCGGTATGTAGACGACATTTTCACAATTCCACTTTTAGATAAAGTAACTGCATTTTTAGACTATCTTAACTCCATAAATTCTGAAATTCAGTTCACAATGGAGTTAGAGGCAAACAACTCTCTAGCTTTTCTAGATGTGTTAGTAATTCGGAATCCTGATAACATCTTGAGCCACACTGTGTATAGGAAAAAGACCCATACAGATAGATATTTAAACGGTGATTCTCATCACCATCTTTCACAGTTAGCTACCGTGGGTAAATCACACCTGGCTGCCGAGCTGCAACACGTGAAGCAAGTTTTGCACGACAATATGCTTCGGGTCTCGCGCCTACGTTACAGTGAACGAGTGAAGCCGGCCACAGCCGACCGAGTGCCTGCTGTACTGCCATATGTCAGAGGTGTCACTGACAAGATTGGCTACATCTTGAAGCGTACTTCCATTCAATCATACTTTAAGCCTCCGAAGAAGATGACTCAGTTTTTATCACCAGTCAATTGTAATGTCCCTCTGCAAGATGCAGGAGTGTAAAAGCCTGATTGTGAATGTGGTCTCTCTTATATAGGACCAATCAAAAGACCCATAAAACCCGCGTTAAAGAACACATAGCTGATGTGAAGAATCGACGCTCCGGGCAGTCTGCAGTCTGTGAACACGTACAGGATCGCCCCCGTCACTATATTCGAGTTCATAGACTACAAATCCTCGCTAAAGAACACCGATTCCTTCCAAGGATGATTCGCGAGGCTATTGAAATCAAAAAACATCCTAATTTCAATAGAGAAGATGGCTGGGTGCTACCATCTGCTTGGGATCCCATAATTAATAAAATTAAATCCCAACCCCTTACTCCTTACCCCGTACCCTTCAAGATACTGTAAGTTCATACTGCGTAGATCAGAACAAAAATTAATAATTTTTAATCTGGAGGTAGCCGTAGTTATCTATGACGTTGGGACGTCATACACCTCAGTCCCCCCCCCCCCCCCCTCCCCCGAGACCGTGGGTGCAGTAAAGTGCTCGAAACGTCTGGAATATAAAATAAGTTAATATACGCGATAAAATCCGTAAAATTAGTTTTATTTAAAAATTATTAAAAAGTATTATATATTTCAAGTTTATTTTACACAATAATGATACTCAGGTTTAGTAGATGTTTAATACCATTTAAGTATTATTTTCCAAACTGCATGATTAGATACAACTTTTTTTTTCACAAGATATTCAAAATCTACAATATGTAAGCATATCCAATTTAATCTCTTTGAAAATTGTGCCAAATAATAGGTTACTTAATACATAATTATTATTTTAGGTTAATAATAAAATTATGTTGCGTGAGTTTGCCACATGTTTGCTACAAGTAATCAAGTTTTAAAACTGTAAAAAAAACTATCCTGTCATTTTTTAATTATTATTTTGAGTTTTGGCGGGAACTTGACCGGCGGCGGTTTGCTGCTCCTGTATTATAGTTTAAATAATAGTTTGAAGGGGATTTTGATATGTAAAAGTGGTGCGATTTTATGTATTAACTCTCAACGCATGTGAACTATTAGTAAAACAAGTGCTCTGATGGTGATGGATTCTCAAGATAAGCTGTTTGTTTGCATAGGCGCCTTTAGATACCATCGCCAACTGTCAGCTGCCTGCTGGCTCAAGTTGCCGTCAAAATCTCCCAAGGGCTGCACAATGTGACGCATCAACATATTGTGAAGCAGTGAACTATGAAGGATAGTTATATTTTTCATTAAAAGTGATTACTAAGCAAGTTAATATTTTGTTTTTTCTTCCTTCAACCAATACATTAAAAAGATTAAATCTAACTCGAATTAGGAATTATAGTATTCTTATTTATTTTGTTAGCTGCTAGTACAATTATTGTTAGCAAAAGTACTGTCTATTTCCGTTCAGAAAAAAGCATTTAAATTTAAATCATATGTCTTTTACATAAGTCTTTTTGGCATAACAATGGTACCAACTTTTGATGCTATACATCGCTTTTCCGTAAGGTCTTGTGACGTGTTATAATGTTTAAGTACTATTATCCTGAGACCGTTATCAACCTATAATGCGTGTTAGTACTTTTTCCTTTCATACTTTGGAAAGGACCTTACGAAGTGTACAAAGCAAATGTACTAAAGTGACAGCTATCTACTGAATTACAAGAAATATGCAGAATATCTCGATTCCAGTACGTAGATAATAGAGTCACGATTTTTTTTTTGCTTTTATTGTATTTCGATTTCTTAATTAGAAAAAAAGTTAAGCCCGGTTGTGTAAAAAAAAAAACTTAAAATGGCTCTACTGTAAAATGCCCTTTTGACGTTTAAGTAGTATTGGCTTTCCAGTGAAGATATGTAGAGCAACACGAGTCACACTCCGATCCAACGATACACGAAACACATACAAGCGGGAATTTCAGAGAATAGATTTAGCCTCTTAGTAGTTTCTGTTTACTTGGTATAGTTGCGGATAGGAAATTCTTTCAAACCCGCATGTATTTTTCTCCAAACTTTAACTTCGTTGCGTGCAAGTTTGGTTTATTTTATAAAAAGACCAGCTCGCCAGGCAGACGTTGTTCTGCCCTTTCCAACGACCCTTCCTATAAAAATCCTTAAATTCGCTATAAAAAATTTTGAGGGTCATTTATCGGGATAAAAAGTATCTTATCTC